AAAAAAATAAACAACCTAGCTAATGTAAGTGTATATCAATATTTTGATAAATATGTAGTACTTCCATTGGCGGACCTACTAAGGGTCCCACGGGGTCCCGGGACCCCATGGACCTCCAAAAAATACCTATATATATTTGTATATATTTTACATAAAATTAAGTAATCAGTGTATTTATACAATTGAAACTGATTTAGAACACAAATATGGAGCTAGAGCAACGGTTGAAGGATCGAATCCTTTGGGAGTCATCTTTTTGAAAATAAAATTATGGAACAACTTAGCCCACCTATTGTTATCATGCACCTCTATAGCCCCACTTTTAATCTAATTTTCTCAACCTATACCCAATTTGTTTCATAACAAATACTACTATAAAGCCAAAATGTATCCCCAAATTTAAGCTTATCTATTTTATAAACTAATTTCATCATGAAACACGTAATTTTTGAATTCACGCACTGAATTTGTAATAATTAAAATAAGCAAATTAAAATCATTTTTTCGGCGAGATGACTAAAGTTACCGTAAGAGCATCATCTTAGCCACTTTTTCATATGATTTTTTTTCATATCTTATAACATACTATCCTCCGTATCACATTATTTACAACATTGAAATATATACACTATTCATATACTTTACTTTGACTACATTTTATTTATTAATGTATGAGAATTTTTTTTGAAAAATATTGTAAAATCCGTCTCATTACTAAGTCTTATAATCTGATTTTTATTTTATTTTTACTAATACAGAATTAAATAGACGGTCAAAGTTGTGCAGTGGCAAACGTGAAATGTTGACTGTTGCAACTAAAAAGAGACGGAGGAAGTATAATTTAAATATCATTATTTCCTAATATAGCAGTTTGAGTCGCTTGAGCCATTATCGCATAATTTGGCTTGATGTGGTTTGATCTAAGACTAAAATCATCCCAACAACAAAGTCCTTAAAGTTACACTAATAAATTGGTAATTGTATTAAATTAAAATAGAAACAAAGCTAACGAATATATTTTAAATAAAAATCCAAATAAAATAATGTGAAGTAATTGGATCGAAATTTTCAAATGTAGGCTTTTTAAATTTGATTTCTCATATGCATGCCCATTATTTTTAGTTGATAGAGGACATTAACTTTATAAAATTTTAGTGCTCGTTTAGTGACTCTGTTTTCGGCTTATCAGGCTTATCAACCAACTTTTTAACCAAACATGTAACTTTTGATTTTGCGCGTTGAATTATGTAATAATAAGAAAAATAAGGTTGAAGTTACTTTTCAGGTTGTATTGACTGCAGTTGTTGTAGATGACCATTTTATCTATTTTTCATATCATTTCTTCTTTATTTTATTAATATAATATATTTTAAATATAATTTTTCATAATCAGCAGAAACAGTCAATACAACCACTTCAGTCAGAACTTCATAAATTTCAGCAGAATCAGCCGATTCAGCCGATTTCAGTGTTACCAAACAGGTTCTAGTTGATAGTAGACATTTCTTTAAAATTGTTGTATACGTTATGTTAACTATGAAATGTTATGCTATTTTAATATTTTACTTCTTTTTATTAATTTTTTTATTGATTAGAGTTACATTACAGTAGGGACCCCGTGATTCTGAGTTTCTGGGTCCGCCACTGGTACTTCATTCATTCTTTTTTAAATGCAACGGTCCACTTTTCATATTTGCCAACACACAAGTTTAACCATTAATTTCTTTTATATCTTATTAGTAAAAAAATTAAAAATATATATTTTGAAACATTAAAATGAGAGCAATTTAAAAATATATTTTTTAAATTCAATATGTAATAAATTAAATAATAAAGTAGAGCCAAAGTAAAACATGTGAATAGTGAAAAAAATCCAATGTTGCATTTAGAAAAGAACGGGAAAAGTATAAATTACAATTACCGGATGTAAGTATGAATCAATGTGATGATTTTAAAAATCCAAATATTCTCTACTTCTAGCTTTCTTTTGTGAACCATGCAAACCATTTAAAAACCTGAGTAGCTTGAAAAGATGGATTGAAATTTGAATAAATGTAATAAAAAAATGCATTACCCTATCACTGGAAAATATATTCATAGAGATGGACTTACTTAGAAATTAGACCACATAATACCATATCATTTGAGAAACGTCTTCATTCCGATTTCAGTTTCATCTCCTTTTCGTAAACCTCAATTTATAAGCTAAAAATATCCTCAGATTAAACCGTAACATTTTCTTCTACTGTTTTTCATTACTATTATTTTTTCTTGGGTATCATTTTTGAGACTTTAGTAAAATATGGAGCAGAAATTAAGACGTCCTTCGGATATTGAATATTTATTGTTTCAAAAATCAAAATTATTTACCTTGTTGGATTTGAGATTATAAGTTATATTGGTCATTCATAAAAATTAATTTCTTGCTTATTTAGTTGGGAAAAGTTATAGCATATGTGATTAAAATATGGACTTCTTATTAAAATTTTATTATATATGTTTTTAATTGGTTTGAAATGATATGATCTTATATGATCACCACACAAAAATTACGGGATTGACACGAATTGACCTGTGATTTCATGCCAAACGGCTTGTGCCAAATTGTTTTTGACATGAATTTAACATATCCCTATCACATCCTCTATGGATTTTGGCGAATCCCTACAAAAAAATCTACGTCAATTTCCTTACTTTTTATATGGTGTGATAGATATTTTTCTACACGTTTTTAGTATTGTCTAATTCATGTCAGACCCAATCTAATATGATATCGTTTGATTTGATTTGATTCAGGTATTATAGGATTTCAAAGTGATCAGTCTACTCTAGTAAAACAAAGACGATTGGGTTATCTTGTTTGTTTGGGTTTTTAGACAATTGGGCTATCTAATGATACTATTTTATACGAAGTATATCTTTTGTGCTAGAACTATAATTTCCTTTGTTACAACTCTCACATCATTCATAAAAAATGCATATTATTTCAAACTCATTGATTTATTTTAATATACTTAGAAGTATATGAAACTTTACTGCACACTTTAAATTATAAAAAAGATTTAAAATAAAGATTATAGTTTCATTCATACAATATTAAACATTGATTGTACACCAATAGTTTGAAATCTTATTTTAGTTCAACTCAAGTCGAAAATCTGAAATACACTATTCGTATTACACAATTTTAACTCGAATAAGAAAAAGGAACACTCAAATATATCATTTTCTTTCTCCGCGATTATTCTTATTTCTCATCCACGCAACACCTCTTTCTTTACCAAACACACATATTCCACATTCTTGCATCACATAAATAAACCACCATCCATCTCTAAACGCGCACTGATCAACTAAACATTTCCGATTAATATAGCCCTTCCTTTCTGTGTTTCACTAATCGACTTATATTTCGTAATGAGGTAGAGTAAAGAGTACACTATAATGCATTTGATCTTTTTAAGTACATAAGTTCGAGTTTTTAATGTTAATTGAGTACACCCATTAGATTAACACGTTAATACGACTGAGTTGGCTAACAGAATGCTAATAGGTCGACTTTTTGAAGGTCGACGCTAGCCCCCGGGCGCTTGATCGACTTCCCCTTGGTCGAAGTCAGTCCCCTGCAGGTCGACTTCTCCTTGTTCGATGCACCCTTGCTGGCCGACGCCCCCCGCAGGTCGACTTCCGAAGGTCGATTTTCCTTTTTTGTCGACTTCGTGAAGGTCGGCACCATAACCTCGGTCCATTACCCCTTCTTACTCGACATTTGTTAGCCAACTCAACTGTATTAACATGTTAATCCAACAAATGTACTCAATTAACACTAAAATCCCGAATTTGTATACTTAAAAAGATCAAATGCAATATAATGTACTCCTTACTCCACCTCGTACAAGTTGATGTACTCAATTTACCATTTCCTCATTTCGTAATCTTGATTTTTTTATGGATATGACTCTTTCTCAGTTCATGATCCCCCCCAAACTCCGAAGTAGAAATAGGTTCTAGAACTCACTTCCACCGGCAGTCTTTAGGAACAGTAGATATGGGGATGCAGCCCCAAAAATGATTACAAAAATATTAGGCCCAATTAGGGGTGGGATTTTGGAACTGGGAACCGTTAAAATGGTTGGAACCGAACTGTTATAACCCGGTTCGGTTCCTACAAATGAGGTATTAGTTGTTAACGGTTCGGTTCCTAGTTGTTGTTAACAGTTCGGTTCCCGGTTCCTGTAAAAAATATATGCACGGAACCGTTAATGAACCGATATTAAAAAAAATAGTAGCAGTATTCGTAGTAATACTAATATAACAAAAATAAACACAACAACAACAATAATAATAAATGAATGATATTTAGCCAATAATTCTAATTTAATTTAATCTATGAAAACAAAAATAATAAATATTTGCACATGAGGTTGAATACATTAAGCTCTTTTTACAAATCAAGTTTTGTTCCATCAATAGGAGTAGAATGTAGTGATGCTTTTATATTTGTACATGCAAACTCAATGTATTTATAGGTTTTGAGAGGCAAAAAGTGTACTCCTATCCTTGCCACTATAATGATGAGCAACCTTCATTTTAACGATATAACCAACGATTTTTATATTTTATGTATTAAATGAAAATTAAAATTTTCTTTTTATTCTATTAAGTGTTCACTTAAACCTGAGCTTTGATGTTTGGAACGATTAGAACTCTAAATAAATGTTTATGACTTGTTGACTTTTTGACGTTTTCATGTGGTAGAAGCTAAACTATGTGTAAATTCTTACACGAAAAAAATTATTCTAGGAACCGATAAAAGCAAGAACCTAACCGTTTAGTATTGGTTCGGTTCCATATCGGTTCTTGATTTTTTATATAGGAACTGAACCGATTTCATTTGTTAAAATTTAAATAATGATTCGACTATTTTTGAGTAAGAACCAAAACGGTACCGGACCTAGGCCCAATATTCTTGTCCAACAAACCAAAGGTCCAATTTTAATTAAAGGCTTGAGGAAGCCGAGCAAACATCTCTAAGTCGGGATCCATCGACTTCTATCATCCACAAACGGTTGAACGCTCCGCCAAGTCGCCGATTCTCTTAGCGGTTTCATCCTCCGTCAGACGCCAACACGCAGCACATCAGCAGCACCGCAGCACGCCTCTTCAGTCGTCAACTACTCACATCACTCCCGTCGCTCAGTCGCCTGCTCTCAGCCACTCAACCTTCAGCGGCTCAGTCAATCGGCGCTTCCCTCAATTTTCACATCCAACCATTCATAGTCCCGGTATTTCTTCAGTCCTCTTTTATTGATTAGCTCAATAATAACTTAGTTCATTGTTTGTTTTATAAATATTTAGTTAAATACTTAAATTAGTAATATCTTTGTATGTCGAAACCTAAGAAAACCGAGAAACACATTTTTATTTTCCCACACGCATCACCAGAACGACAGAACCAATCAGAAAAAATATAAGATAACAAATCTTTACCTAAGATCTCAAAATGGCAGAAATTTACGAATGTTTTTATTTTCAGAAAACTTGCCCTCTGCCGGTCAAAAATCACTCGAAAAATCGGTTAGCCTAAAAGTGGGGTTTTTGTATATTTGTTTTTTGAGAGGTTTTTATTTTGGTTAGAAAATAATTGGACTCATTATAACTTTATATCATTATTATTTAATTGTTGTACCCAACAACTGGATGTCGTCTTTCTGGTGATCAAAATTAAACATGAAAAGCGTATTCAATGGAGCATATTTCTATATTTCTTTGATTCGTATTTTGTTAAGGAACCCAATTTATGTGGAATTTGTGTACATAATCTAAGCTTTATGTACCCTTCAATTTATGTACCCAGTAATATGAAACTTAAGTACCAGCAGTATGGTTGAAGGCAAATATATGGAAGTAGTCAAATTTGATCACAAAATGATACTGAAAAAAGTATAAAATTCTCCTAGTTTCTCTACTACGTATTTTGGCTTATTACAAATTTAATCCGTAATATAAGTTCTACAATTTTTATATAAGAAAACCAAGTTATTAATTTAAGATTAGTTTTTTTAATTACAATTTTTTGAAGTAATTTTTTTTAAATGTCCAATTGACCAAAGCACATTTTTAAGATTCATTAAGAAACTAACCTCAATATACTCTCAATTGGCTTAAATCTGTTTAAATTTTGAACAGAATGTATAAAAGAAAATACTAAAGAAATCATTCATTATGTAAAGCTTAAATGAATGTAGAGATGATTATTCATCACTCATCAGGAACATCTTTAAAACCAACGACATATGTGAGGCTTATAGAGTTATATTGGTCATCTTTAGCTTTTAGATAATGCTTCTTATGAAATTCAAAAAGTCAAGGTTTATTATGTAGCCTTTAATTGAAATGCATCCACAGTATTTATTCATCGAAAGCTACATTGGAAGAGTTTCTAATTGAAGAATTCCACATTGAGAACATGTTAGGAGTCTAGAAGAATACTTCAAAATGGCCTCCAAGCCTCACTCCATATGTAATTGCATTAATTCTTGAACCTTGAGAAGACAATTAATTAGTTTAAATTGTTTACACTCTGTCTGCATGTACTTCGAGAAGCACAACCTAGGGGAGAAAAATACCATAGTATATACTCCGTATAACAAAGAATACAAAAATTAATTACTAATGCTATGGAAAAAGATGTACACATCTCGGTGAATCCTAAAGGCTAATGCAATTAAATGCTTCGAGAAGCTCAAGACACAATATTTAAATCTAGCAGTCTTTATTCATCCAAGACCTAGATAAATGGAAAGACATCATTGCAACCGAACATTTTCTCTTTCTTCCTTTATGTCACTCGGTATTTTATATGTAGGTGCATCCATAGTATTAAAGAGTTCTAGAACAATTGAAATACAATAATCCTTAATTAAGTGATTAATTGTTTGGCGTGAAAACTGCTGCCATGCAACGGTGCAACTTCCTTATTTTCTATGTACATTTTTTCCCGCCCAACACCCCTTGTCCTCCCTCCTTGGGACTTTTGTGTTTTACTATATTATATAGATGTTACTTTTTCTTTTCAATTCCTTTTCCCAAAAACGATGATGTTCCTATAATCCCAAGGGCATCCAGTATGCCTGTAGTAGCCGTGTAGTGAAGTCAGGGGCGGACCGTAGTACACACGTGGTTACCGCCCCCAACAAGAATTTTTAGTGTATATATATACTCCGTATGAAAAATAATTTTCTCCCTCCGAAAAAATATTTTGAACCCCAAAAAGTATTTTCTCTCACCCAAGATGACTTTACTGGGTCCGCCCCTGAGTGAAGTAATTTGTTAGTTTGCTATGAATGTGAGTATGTCAATATTGATCCTATTCTTTAGTACTTTTATTTAGTACCTAGTATTAATATGATTCTTAATATTAATCGAATTGCCTAGCTAGTATGGATCTCATTAGCTTTTGTAAGTATTGATCATGTTGCAATTGAAAGAGAACGGAGATGATTTAAATTGCGGTTATTTTTTGGTCAAAAAAGTGTTGCAGTTATTTTTCATTTTTCAAATCAATGAATACGAAAGGTCAAAATTGTATTCAAGAGTGTACCACATTAAATAAGAATGACAAACCAATATACCTTCAATAATATCTTGTATCTTGTTAGCGGTTAAACTATTTGTCCTATACCGGAAAATTATAAAATACGGAGTAATAAAATAAGTACTACTCCTATCAGGTTTATTTTATGATAAAATAAGTTGCATATGTACTTTACGTTTGTATGTCACTTTATGTTCCAATTGAAGTTATATTAGATATATTAAAATTTTTACCCACATTGGATTGACATGCTAGATCCCATCCTTAATATCCATATGAATTGAATTGTATTTTAGTATTTTAATAACACTATATAATTACATTTTTATTTTATATTAATATTATATTTAGTAATTTTATGCCTCGTATTTAACTTTAAACAGGACTTCCAATATTTCAGGGCAGAGGCTGGATATACATGCATGTGATCGCTTCGCCAGCTCTTCATCATCATAACTATCCTGCTCTTCAATTATACTCATGGATATAGTGAAAAGCATCAGGGCATATTACTTGAAAATAAGGAACTGTATTTCTCCCCCACCCCCTCCCAAACCTAATGAGGCAAACCTCACTTTCATGACTTGTCTGTTAAAAGTAGACACCAATTCTCCAGGGTGGCACAAAGCAATCATAGCTATCTTAAGAAGCAATAAAGGTATGCATCCATTGAATTGCATGCAATGTCATGTCTCTTTCTTAATTATACATATACGGGAGTATATTTATCTGTGATATTGGACTTTGTCAACTTTTCTTTTTTGTTTGTCCTAAAAAGTTTGTCATTTTCATTTTAAAGTGATGAATTTGTGGTTCAACTAGTGCGGACTGGTGGAGCCAGAAATGTTAAGGGGACGAGCTTAAAGAATTTGTATATGGAGGTCCAAAACTTAAAATTGCACTATTTTAACCCCTTTTTGTCTCCATCAGTGAGTTCAACTCATTTTCTCTTCTCTGCACAAAATTTTTACTTTTCTTATTTCACGCGTAACGCACACTTAAGAATATCTAATGAAATAGAGGTAAATAGGTAATATACATAGGTGAGAACTCCGGTATCCATTTAAAAAATGGAGTACCGTACCTGTCATTCACTTTATTGGTCCAAATAGGTATATCATTTCTAATTTAGATTTAAATAATTCAATAATATTTTGATTGGTACATGTGGACAAAGGTATGATACCTTATGGTACCGTAAAATCTACCATATACATATTCATTTTTTGGATGAATGCAGGAGTGAGAAGCTTCAAGATGAGTCAAAGCGGAAAGATAATGGTGACGGGGACAGGGGATCTGAACCTGCTCCTCAAAATGCTGAAAAAAACTGAAAAATCAACAGAGCTGGTTTGGGTTCAATCCGGCCTCTGCTCTTCTAACTTGTTCCTCATCAATGATAATGGCCACCAGCAGCAGCAGCTGGGACCACGAGGACCTTTTGGTCTACAGCCGTGGAACCAACCTGCTCCCCTTCACTCCCACTACGACTTCAACGGACTTTTTACTACTATGTCACCGCCCCCACTGCCACCGCCGCCGCCGCCTGCTTATCATGGCCCACCGCCTCTCAATACCACATTTGGAGTGGATCATAATAGAAGCTACCTTCAACATGGTCGACGACCATTCAGACCCAGCAACCAGGGATGGTTTTAGATGTGCAATTTCAAAATTTTCTTATTCTATATGTAATGTAATTTCATTAAAATTTTATACATACGTGTTTCCCCTTAACGTTTGATTTTCATTTTTAATTTATACTGTAATATCATACCGATTATAATAAATAAAATACTTAAGAGGAGTTATAGAGTTTATCTTGATCGAGTGAAAGATCTAAAATAGTTTGGCTTGATAAACTATTTTAGTTTAGATAAGATGTTTTTTTCTTTTTCGGCATCAATAATGTTATTATAAGTTCATTGACTAATGTTTGTAAAGTGCCACATACTTTGTTGTTACTTCTTACAAGTCCATTGGTTGTAACTTACAACCAATGGACAGTAATTATACCAAGTGAAAGAATGTGAAAAAATGATTTTATGTGAAATTGTTGGAAATGTCATCTTAGTTTATAGATAACTTTTCCAAGAAGATGTTATTACATGTTTACGGAAATACTGACTAGTGCATTTTGTCGAACACTTTGTGGACAAAAATGAACCGCATAACTAAGTAGAAGAGGCGGGTGATTGAAGCACTTATAATTCAATTTTAAATAAAGGTTTTAATGTGGAAGGACTGGAAGCCAATTCAATTAAAGATAATTTTTAAGCATACAAATGTTTAGGACAGGTGAATGATGAAGAAACAGGGGTGTAGCTATCTTTCTTTCTCAAGCAATTATAAAATGGCTTAATTTGGCTTGGTTTGAAGTTCAATCATAGTGGCCAAAAGGATATAAAAAGATCAAGTGAAAACATTAGAGATTTAGAGTAGAGTTGTGTAAGTGATTTTTTCCTAAATACAATCGCTTCAGATCATAGTAAGATGGACTGAAAATAAAATTACGTTAAGGGCAACCATCTAAGTAACAAGTGTTATATTTAGAGGGACTATAACATATTTAAACTAACAAAATATTAAGAATAGGTTTGGACAATGTCTCGACGGCAGACACTTTTAGTATAAGGTTGAAAACCTTAGTCTAGACCACTACATAACACACACATAACACATGATTAAAAAAGTACTATATAAACTAAAGCATGAGGAATAGATCTATCAGATGTTATCCATATAATAAGCAAACTGTAATAAAAAAAACCTTCAAAGATATATAGCTATTGTTCTATGCTATTTTTTCAAAAACTCTATTTGTTCTATTAGATTACGACACTTTTTAATCATGTGTTATGTGTGTGTGTTATTTCCCGTTAACACTATCGGGAAATAAGAGCCAGCACTTTTAGGGTAACTAGTAGGCAGTAGCTGAAGGGATCTTCGACCTTCTTTCTTCGAAGTTGTCAAGAGGCATTTATCACCTTCTTGGAAGGAGGTCTCCAACATATGAACATGAGAGAATATTTCTTGGAGATAGCTAGGAAACTCCTAGCAATGAGAATGGAAGCTTGGATGCAACTTCCTCATGTCTCTCATATACACCTATAAATAGGGAGTGTATTGTTGTTCATTTGTATCAGTTTAGAAAGTGATACAAGTGTGTGAAGAGTAAAATACACTTAGATTAGAAGTGTATTAGTGAGGATTGGTTTTTTAAGGAACAGAGTCACGAAGGTAGTATTATACATAGTACTAACTATTATTGAATTTTTTATAACTATTATTTTTGCAAGATTTTAATAAATAATTTTATTCTAGTAATGAACATTCACACGGTAGATTTGGTCATATGGGCACACTGAAAATATTTATTCAGAAAACAATTTTGCTATAGGTACCCCAACTCTACCCCAATTTGTACCCCGTATAAATATCTCCCTTTTACCATTTTTTTTACCCCTTCCCAAAAATATCACTCTCACTCTCACTTCTCCCCTCTACCCATACTATTCTTTTCCCCCCAAAATCTGCAGCACCCATTCGCGGCTGCTACAGTGCACAAAGACCTCTCTTCTCCATTATTTTCAGCTGCCACAGTGCACCCACTTCGTTCCTTTTCTTCTTCGTTTTATTAACCATGCAATGGAAAATACAGAGTGCCACAGTGCACCCACTTCACTTTATTTTGCTGGCACTTTGCTACCACAGTGCACCCACTTCACCTTCATCAAATCTATCTAAATATCAATCAGATACATGGAAAGTGTTCTCTTGCTGGCACTTTGCTGTTAGTTATTGACATTTCTCCGGAATAAAGAGACCAAGATCTATATATAGGAAAAGAAAACCATCCACCAGATCTGGGAGATTATGAAATTTACCTCTGCATTTCGAGCTGGACGAGCTCATTTATGATTGAGTCCGGAGCTTCCCGGTCTTCTTTCTTGGCTAAAATCTTGAGTTCTTGGACAACGTGAATACCCCAACCGGCATTTAGATCTGGAGAGTACAGATGACGAAGTTGTGTCCTCACAAGCAACGAGGTTGATGATGAAGGTGAGATGGTCTTGAAAGACTTGAGATTGTCTTTTTTCCTCATTTTTTGGTATTTTTTCGTCCAAATCCACATGAAAAGGAGTTGTCTGTCTGACAGACAAATTTGAAGTGCAGCGTCTGTCTAGTTGAGCATGGTTTCATAATTGGTAGAGTCTTACATAAGATGCCTGTTTGGACAGACAAAATTATTAGTTTGAGTACATAGAACAACTGTATGTTACAATTGTATTTTATAGTACGTGTGATGACTTTTGTGATGTCTCTCTTTGGATGTTGAAAATTGGTTTGTAATTGTCTGTGAAGTGAAAAGGGTTGACTGGCATTCCATTCGATTTGTGTGTAATGTGAAATGAATTCTTTAAAATTGATTTGTAGTTGCCTGTATGTGAAAAACGTTGTCTGGCATTCCATTTGAGTTGTATGTAATGTGAAAATAGTTATCTATCTGATGAAATTGTGAAGTAGTTGTGTATATTTAGACTGCTCTGTCATGGTATTTTGAATATTATGTAATTGGTTTGGAGTTGTCTATCAATTTATTTTGAATGGTTTAAAATTGGTTTATAGTTTTATGTCATGGGAATTGACTTCTCTACTAATGTATTGCAACAAATTGTTTGTAATGTGATATAAAATGTCTGGCCTTTCTTCTGAGTTGTCTGTCTACAGGTCGGGAGAATGTGGAGTGATGGTGGTGATGGATAGTGTACCCGGGGGTAGCTTATCCGAGGGGTTATTACGGGGAGTAATAAGAGAGAAGTCAGAGCAAGCAAGTATAGAGAGGGAGAGTATATTATAAAGAGTGGAGCGTTTTCAGCATGGTTACAAATGGGGAAATGGGGTGCTATTTATAGTAGCAATAAATGCCGGACAGGGACACGTGTCAAGCGTCCATTGGCCGAGAGGTCACCTCAACTGGTTGGCGCTGGCAACCGCATGTGGCTGCATTTAATGCGGCTGTTGGATGGGACGTCGTACTTGGTACGGTGACCCAGATGCGCGTGGAGGGAGGATCCTGTCGTGCGAGCTGCCTTTGGTCGTATAGTAGTTGCCGAAGGCTCTCTGTTGTCGAGGGCACGCTAATGCCGAGGGCTACTGTTTTTTTGCCGTTTTCCTCCCAGTTTCTTAGTTTGCTTGAAAACCCCGTTCTGTGAGAAATTTGAGCCTTCGGCCAGGGGGCCGAAGGCTCCCCAGTGTGCGCTGTGGGCTGCTAAGTGCTTGGGGCGCCGTAATTTGGGCCTGCTGTGCTTCCTGGGCCGGTTGGGCCTTTATTGGTGTAGTAGGAGTCTGTGGGCCGGGGATTCCCGGACCATATACTCCATCAGGAGTCCCTCACTCCTTTTGCCGAAAGGTACTTGAGGGAAAATGAGTAATTTGTGCTTGCCCTTTGATGTTGTCCCATTGTAATCTCTGAAGTTGGTGAGGAGTTGTTGTTTGCATGTCCCTGCCGAAAGCAGTCCCTCAGTTACCCACATGTCGGGACTTGGGGGATTGCTTTTGCCGTTTGTTGGAATTTTTTCACCATTTTGTAATTTAATGATTTTCCCGAAGGGGTCCTCTAGTCCCCCACTCCTTGAGGCACTTGCGAAGTGGTGAAAAGGAGTGAAGCAGTTGCGTTTCTGTTGCGGGCCGAAGGCTGACGCTTTTCGTTTCATTTTGGGGGGATGCCTCGTTAAAAACCTCATTAGGAAAAACCATGTGGGAAAAAATCCTAATGAGGGAAAAAGAGCGCACCGGATTCCCCCAACGATGAATCGAAAATGTCAAACCTTGGCTCAAAATGGAGAATAATGGTAATGCTGAGGGCTCTCCTTGTTCTGAGGGCTCCTTGTTGTATTGCTGAAGGCGCGTCGTTGATATTCTGGGAGGCGTCGAAGTAGAGTCCCTCAATCCATGGGACTGAGGGCGTGATAAACGTAAATAGTAGCTGTGAAGATCCCGAAGGCTTCACGTCCTTTATTATTTAGCTGATTAGGGGAGCACCCGAAGGGTCCCGTTTCCTGCGTGCCGGGGGCGCGCTTGTTGATGAAGTGATATTCCCCGGGGGCTGCCCGGAAATTAATGTGTTGTAGGGGGGAGGATACCCGAGAGGTCCACCAGTTGTGAGCCCGGGGGGTCCCCTTTGTGAGGTGGAGCGAAGGAGGGAAGCCCGGGGACTACCCCTTTATTTGATGAAGGAGTGTCTACCCGAGGGCGTACCTCCAGGTTCCCAGAATATAGCCGTTGTAATGTGACCGTTGGAGGGGGAGTACATGTGGCGCGTGATGGTTGGCTGCCCGTGGGCGGCGTCACCGGTTGGGCGAAGACGCGGCGTGTAATAATGACCTTTTGCCGGGGGCCCGGTTTTTTGGGCCCAAGCCCGGATCTGGGCGCCTATAAATACCCCCGGCCAAGGCCATTCGCCTTTGTGCGATCATACTGTTAGCGAAGCTCTGCCAAAATTTTTAGAGAGAGAAACTCCGGCCTTCGGTCAAACCAAGTCTCAGAGGTTAGTTCTCCTTCTGTCCTTAGCTCTATTTGAGTACTTAGCTTTTGGCATTAGGGTTAGGCTTTAGGACCCTTCAGGAACCCTTCTGTGTACGAATTTTTCGACCCCTCACCTTTTAGAAGTAATGTCGTCAGCTAGTGATTCCCAAGACATCTCCGGGGAGGCTTCAGTGAACATCGAAGTGGCGTCTGACGTGGAATCCTCAAGCGAGCAGCTCTCGGTCATCGACGACAGGGCCGTAGCCGAGGCGATACAGGGTGACCTTCTGCTTGAACTCGAGGCCGAAGACTTCGAG